TCAAGCATAGCAGAGTGCCAACTAGTGAAGCCATACATAGCAAATAGTTTTTTGGTTTTGTAGTGGACTGTAAATCGTAATATTGTCATGGATTGTAAGACTTATGTAGTGTTATTTGATGAATTATATTTGTTCTGTCCTGTTTGAATAGTGATTATGTATGTTGTAAAGATGTGAAATGGAAACTTGATTAGTGGGACCTACTTATGAATATAATTTGAGCAATTTTGAAATTTCTGATATGTGGGACCAATGTATGGCATTATTACTAGTGGAACCCATCTGACTAGTGGGACTAACTCGAAAATATAATGACAGAAAATGGAAAATCAATTGATTCTAAGAAGGCCAAGGCCCAAAAATAAAGCTGGAATATTGGGCTTGGCCCATGCAGCCCATGATAATTGACTTGAAAAAAACATCGAATTTGTTAGGCTAGGCCCATGTAAAACACTCAATCGGACCGGGCTGATTCTTGTCAGTGACCTTTTCAATTGGTCGTAGTTTTGACACGCCAGATTGCCACGTCGGATCCGACGTGGCCTGGGCAGACAACCAGTGACCAAAATAAAAGGTCATGGGTTCAACGACCTTCTGTTTTGGTCGTAAACGTCTACGACCTTCTCCTCACAGAGAAGGTCATTAATTTCAGTTTACGCCGCCAGCTTTTGACCTTCTGTTTTTTATCACAAAAAGGTCGCAAATGAAAAACAATAACCTTTCAGTGACCAATAGTCAATGTCACAAGTTGACATATTTCTTGTAGTGATTATACAACTATATATATAAACATACAAGTAAGAATTTTTTCCTTTCAGAAAGAAGATAAGAACAAGAGGCTCACCACGGTGGTGCCGACGACGAGATCGGCGCGGGAGATCGACGACGGTGAAGACGCGGACAGGATGTGACGGACCGCTAAACCTAGACAAATATTAAGGAAAATGGAGCTTGGAGGTCGAGGTTGGAGAGGAGAAAGCTTAAGTTGTGTGGCTCGGGCATTCCATCGAACACCTCGTGTGCATAGGAGGTGAGCTAGAGCACCGCAAAGCTCTCCAACAACCGGCTAAAAAAATAGAGCAGTGGAGTGCTCTGCTCGCGGGCGAGGGGTATATATAGGCAACTCATTGGTCACGGTTTGTGGCATGAACCGGGACTAAATGTCACCCTTTGGTCCCGGTTCAAGCCACCAACCGGGACCAATGGTGGTGGGCCAGGAGTGAGGCCCATTGGTCCCGGTTCGTCCCACCAACCGGGACAAAAGGGGCCAGACGAACCGAGACCAATACCCCCACGAGGCCCGGCAGGCCCCCTGGCCTCACGAACCGGGACCAATGGGCCCATGGGTCCCTGTTCGTGACTGAATCGGGACTAATGGGCTTACCTGGCCCGAACGTATGTCCTGTTTTCTACTAGTGACGGAGTACCTTTCAATTTCTAATTTGTCATCTTTCGAATTTGACAACAGTACTGATGTTACTCTTACTTGAAAAATGAGCGAAACAGCAGGATGGATCAAACAGTCACTAGGATCAGTCGCCTTTCCTGCCTTCATCTGTCTGAAATCACTTATTCAACCGAAAAGGATTTTAAGAACACGCGGCCTGTTATCAACAGGAGAGACGGATGGTATTTGCACGAGATGTTAACAAAGGGCTCTCGATTATGTCTAATCAACATGATCTTATCCTTGGTAGAGCTACTATTTTCTCATGTCCATGCCATGGACCGACCTCTATAAGAGCGTCTTCAGACTATACTGCCCCAAGCATTACCACGCCTAAGGTTCTATTACCTACTCCCTCCGTCGCACAATATATGATGTTACCACAACCAATATATAAGTATATTGGTTGTAATAACATCTTATATAATGGGACGGCGGGAGTATCTATTTAGGGAACCCCTTTCGTATTTAAGGAATTCATCGGCTGAAATGCTTCAGCAATTAAAGTTAAAAAATTCTGACATAGGATAACTAGATGGACTTTAGTTCCGGCCTGAGGAAGTATGTCAAAGTGAAATTGTAACACAAACAACTGTCGGCATAAGCAAACAGTTTTTCACTTCAAATTCATAAGATCCTTTACTCCGGTGGCTAGATCTGCATCGATGCTTACAGCTGCTGTTACAAGCATTTAATACAAGTGGCTCTCTCTAGATCCAATCTAGGGAGACACTAACCCCCATCACGAACGGAGAGAAAGCTAAAGTCAGTGGGAAACAGGGACTACTGTTAAGAAAGGAGTATGCTAACAGAATAAGACATGGGCTCCATCCCCAAGTCCAATTATTTACACTGAAATCTCAAAGCTCCTGTGAACTGGAGACTATTGTGCAGAAGAACGGAGAGAAAGGAGTATGTTAACATACCAAGATATGGGATTCAGTTTTGCGAAGAAGCATTTCTGGAGAGAAATTAATTTTGACTTCTGGTTTGTTGGAGACTGATTAACGTTTTTTATTCTGAATTGAAATTCTCCTGTGGACCATTTGGTAAGGACTTTCCATTTCTCTCCAGGAAACACGTTATGTTTGGTAGGAATTTCCTGTTATTGTTGAATCCCTACCAAACGCACCTCTAATAATTATAAGCAACTTTCAGTAGATCCAAGTCTTAATGAATCACTAATCCTCGGACAGAGAGAAAGACAAAGTTAGTGGGAGAAAGAGAGTCCTGTGCAGAAGATATGTTAACAAAAGATCACCGCCTGAAAAGTTGTACTAGCTGGACGAAGCCAGCACCATGTTAAACTCATAATCTGTGCAAACCAGCATCATTGACCCCCAAGACAAACGCCCAGCTCCACAAGAGCAAAACACACACACACACACACCTCTCCATTCATCTCCCTCCATGGAGCCAGGATCCAAACAAGATGGAGCTGTTAACATGACGAGGGCAATGGAGGCTTTGTCCCCTTGGTTGAACCACCCAAGGAAGACGATCGTCCAGGTTGAAGTTCTGGTGGTAACGGCCGCTGCGCTGCTGCTTCTCCAACTCATCTTGGGCTCCTGCAAGCGGCGCTGGCATCATTCCTTCGTCAAAGGTGGCTTGAGCGTGTGTGGAACACTTGTGCCCCCTCTTGTCCTCTTCACATTGGGTATGATGCAGTCCTTCCCAATCAAGAGTTCATCGTATCCTGTCTGGTCTGCTATCCTCATCATGGCTTCAGTGGGCACGACGGGCGTCCAGCAATATGATTTCTATTGCAGCCACGATAAAAAGCACATGCAGGTTCTTGTCGAGCTAGGTAAATATTTTTTCTACGGTTTTATGATGGTTATGCTATTAGATCCAAGTCCAAATACAACTGGAAGCTTCATTCAATTTCAAATGCGTGGCAGTGCAAGTTCCTATTGTGCCATCTCGCTTTCTGGGGTCGTTTTATTCACAGTGGGTATTGAATCCGCATGGTCAACAGTTGTGGCATACTCTAAGTATTATCGTCGCACACTAGTTGCAGAGAGGATGGAGGAACATGCAAATGATCATCTGTGTGACTCTGACTCAGAGAGCATGAAGGGCTACAGTTACGTAGTCTTGGAGCGACCCATTTTTTTTTTAAAAAAGGGCAACCTGGTGCATGTAGCTCCCGCTTGCGCAGGGTCCAGGGAAGGGTCCGACCACTTTGGGTCTATAGTACGCAGCCTTTCCCTACATTTCTGTAAGAGGCTGTTTCCAGGACTTGAACCCATGACCTCATGGTCACAAGGCAGCAGCTTTACCACTGCGCCAAGTCTTGGAGCGACCCATTTTTATCATCGAGAATTTGGTGTGGTCCGTGTGGATGCAGGATCACAGTAGCAATTCAAATCAATCCATCACCATTGACCAGATATGGGATTGTTGTGGCAACTCAGCTGATGGCAAAGCATTGAAAGATTTCTGTCTATCCTTTGCATTGTGTCGGCAGCTCTTGAAATTGCGCTACTTTAGGATTGTCTGTCCCAAAGATAACCTTCTTAACGGCCATGATTTTGTCTTCAGAAAACTGTTGCCATCTGAAGGAAATTTTTTCGAGGAGAAACCTGAAGGGGATTTCAGAACAGCATTCAGAATTATCGAGGTAGAGTTGGGTTTTTGCTATGATTTCTTCTTCACGAAGTATCACTATACCTTTCTATCAGTGGAATCACGGCTACCACTCGTTCCATTCTTGGTTTCACTCAAGATAATTCTCCTTTTAATTGTTGGAGTGTTTGCCTTCAGAAATTCACTGATTCTTGAGACATCAAATCCTATCATAGAAGTACACAGTACAACAGTTGATTACATAATTACTCTACTAGTTCTTGGTATAGTCTTCATAGTGGAACTAGCGCAAGCAGCATTTTATATGGCTTCAAATTGGGTCCAGATATCACTAGTCTGCAGGTATGTCAAGAAAAATTGCAATGCAACCAATGCATTTGTTGGAAAAATTATTGGTTTTCTCAGAAGGGTTATTATTTCTGGGGCTTTGAGAGATAAGATTGACCAGTACTCAGTTCTTCTCAGATGGAAACAACCAGACCCAGTAGATGTTTCTGATATAATTAAGAGAGCTATTGTTAGGTCGCTCATATTAACTGATGGCAACCTAACCAATGGAGAAACATCACTAAGGAAGAACCAAATGTTTGAGAAGTTTTGTTGGACATTTAAGGATCACTCTCAGTTGGAAGTCATGTTCATTTGGCATATCGCAACTGAATATTGTGATGTTTCAGTTGATCAGAGAAATGAGATTACTCGAGATGATTGCCGAGGTGTTGCAGTTTACTTGTCTAGATATTGTGCATACTTGATTCGATCTGTCCCAGAACTGCTTCCGTACCACGAGGTGGATATAGAAGAGTTGATAGCAAGGGTGCTGAAAGAACGTAAGCAGCTTTTTGGATCCTATAAATATTCTGAGATATACGATAAAATGAAGAATTTAGAAGGGACAGAAGAAGGAGATGACCCTGCGACAGTCTTCAAGAAAAGAGTGAGGCTTGGTAAGCAGCTCACGAGCATGCCGGAAGAGCTTCAGCACTGGAAGGTGATGGGGGATTTCTGGGCTGAGACAATCATCTATGTCGCGCCCTCGCACTCCACCGCGAAGCAACACATGCAGCATCTTGAGAATGGCGGGCAGTTCCTCACCCATATCTGGGCTCTGCTTTCTCATGCTGGTATCCTGAACCTTAACAGGGACAAGGATCAGGGGGCACAGGAAGAGCCTGCATCTGTATGATTCATGTCGACAGCGGACCAGCCTCCGCCGCCTCCCTTTCGCCACAAGCTGATTACTTTGTGATTTCCCATCAGTATTTATTTTCCAAAATGGCAGTGTTTCTTGTGTTGCCGTTCTTAATGTTTGTACTATGAATAATTGACGCTATGTGAGTCTCCCATGCATACCGTGGGTTTCACCGTGCTTTATTATGTATTTCAGAAATGTATTTCCCCAAACTGTACCTTATATTCTGAGAACTGAAAAATGGTTTGGCCATCATTTGGAAAAAGGAATATTTATCCAGGATGTACTACCTCTGTTTGTAAATGTAAGATGTTTTGGCAGTTTAAATTGAACTGCCGAAGAGTCTTGTATTTAGGAGCAGAAGAGGGTGCAGTATATTACCGTGCATTGGCACTCTTCTGTTTTGCAGTATGTATTTAGTCTTGGAGTTCACAAGGGTCAGATAATTCAGATTATCACACTAATTCAGACTTCAGTGTATGTAGTACAGGCACTGTACTTACCAGAGTGCGAGTGAGTTGCCTCCTCACCCTTCCGCTTGGTTTCTGCGGGTGTCACCGGAGCGACGCCGCATGCTAGATCCGCCTCGGTCTCCGAAGACCAAGGCGGATCTAGCATGCGGCCGCTCTCCTCTCCGTTCTCCGGCTTGCCGCGCCAGAGAACGGAACGGTATTCTTGAACTCGACGGTGGGGCAAAGGAGGAGACTGCGGATGGAGCTCGCCGACCGCTGGGAGGACAGCAGCGGAGGTGAGCTCACTCGGTTACTCCGGTGGCCGGCCTGCGATCTGGAGGTCGGGAAGACAGGGGAGGCGGAGGAGGACGAAAGCCCGCTGCGACATACCTACCCATTGCTTTTTTTTAGTCTAAACATGTTTACTTTATTCACTCAATAACCATAGGGATACAATTGATGTCTGGCGGGTTTATTAGCCACAGATGACGCCCGGACCCTAGACCAAAAGCATGTTTAGCAAGACTATGTGCCTCAACATTAGTCTCTCGTCCTTCAAAAATGAAGGAGCACTGCTGAAAGAAGGTAGTAGTCACATTAATCTCCCTAACTATCGTAGCATATGTTCCTCCTGTTCGGTCATGGATATCTCGAACAACGCCTTGACAATTAGAAGCAATCACTACCCATTGCTGCTTACTTTTTTTTAGGGGTCACCCATTGCTGCTTACTTGGGCTCAACCAAGTCCAACTAATAAGTGGGCTAAAGAGATGTGGCCCAGTCATGTATCGCAACCTCTCTTTTTTTTGCAGGAATTTTATTCCAAAATTATAGAGTTGCACTCAAGAGATCCTCGATACATGAGGGCCCTTTGTGTATGGTCAACACTCAGCCATTTGATCTGGGCTTCAATAGTCGTCAGATCTGACGTATCATCCCTCTTTGACTTCGTCTTCAACCTCCGTCCCCATGCGCCTTCGTCCTCCTGCCCCACGAGCACCCGCGTCCTCTCCCTGTCGTCGCCGCCCGTTGCGGTCGACGCTCGTGCGTGCACAGACTTGTCCCCCTGGTTGAAGCTTTTTTCACTTCGGTTGAAACTTTTTCCACGGTTTGAAGCTTTTTCTATGGTTTGGAGCTCCCTCGTTTGCCAGTTGAAGCTTTTTCTGTAATTGAAGTTTTTTTCAACATTGATTGAAGCTTTTTTTCATGGGGTTGAAGCTTTCATCTATGCCGGTTGCAGCTTTGACGTCCACACTTGCAACCTCACCGTCGAAGAGCGCAGCTCCCGTGGCCCCTGTTGGCCGTAGCCAGCCGTAGCATCAGCATTCGCTGTTTGAAGCTTTTTTCAACGCTGGTTGAAGCTTTGTGTGACACCGAATGTAACCTTTTTTGTTGTGCAGTGGTTGGTTGCAGCATTTGTCATCGTTGATTGAAACTTTTCTCACATTGGTTGTAGCATTCGAGACCGCCAGTTGCAACATCAAGGGGTGTCCCTTGGTGACCCCAGCTCGCCGTCCGCCTCAAGCTTGTCAGCGATGGCTGCCCTGCTTGTGAGCTCGTAGGTGATGCCTCCTGTCATGGTAGCGCTGGCGCTCGGCCCCGTTGCGCGCACGGCCATGCCTTACGAGCTCATCGACCGAACCGCCCCCGGCCGCCGCACTCGTCGTCCTTTGCTAGGAGCACCGCTGTCCTGTCCTTGCTGGACTTGCAGGCCATGGCGCCGCTCGCGCTCGTCACCCCAACCACTGGCGCTCGTCACCCCGCCCCCGGCCATCCACGCTCGTTAGCCATCCGCGTGCAGGAGTGTGGTCGCTCGAAGAAGATGCTACAGAGACCCACGCACCAACACCTCGCGCGACGAAGGACCGGCCGAAATTTCAGCCGGCGTGTAGATGGCAAACGTTTTCGTTTGTGTAAGCAAATAAATAGTGGTACACTCAGTTTGGCTATAACTTGACAAAAATCTGCTACTCTGTTTTGCTCATGATGAATTTTCCAAGAAATAAACTCTCGATCTACTGGTAAAGTCTTCTCCAAAGCCAAGTGTCCATACTCAAAACAGTACTATCTCTGTCTAGGTGAATAAGTTATTCACGTAGTTCTAGGCCATCGATTTGAGCAATTAAATATGTGTTATATGTCATGAAAAGTATATCACTAGATTTTTACACGGATGTACTTTCTAGATATATATTTCTTGTCACGTATAATATGTAGAAGTGCATGCTCTAGCCAATGCAATCAAAAAACCGATCTGATGGAAGAGACTAGGCAGCACATTATACGTCAACACTTCCCCTCACGTGTGGCTCCCTCAGGCCTAAACGTGGACCGAATATGGTCTACAATTTAATTGCGCCAGTCGGGTCTTGAACTTAAGACTTCTTGGCTCTGATACCATGTAGAAGTGCATGCTCTAGCCAATGCAACCAAAAGACAGATCTGATGGAAGAGACTAGGCAGCACATTATACGTCAACATAATACATATTTAAATAGTTAAATCGTCGACCTAGAACTATGTGAATGACTTATTCACCGAGACGGAGGTAGTAGTGAATCCTCAGCAAAACAGATGAAGCCACCAACGAATCCGACTGGAGAATTATAGGAAGGTCAGTATAGTGCAATGCAAGGCCATTTATTTCTGTCTTGAGAGCGTCATTGTGATGGAACAAGAATGTAGACGATTTCATGGCTTGGCATTTTGACAGCAAGGGGCAATTTTCAGTTCGGAGCGCATATAAGCTGCAAGTCCAATTGGAGAAACAAGGGCGGGGTGATGGCTCGGGCAGCAGTGCAGTTGTCCGGCAACTTTGATCGTTGCGATGATATGTCCTGGAAGAGGCTATGGAAGTTGCCAACCCCGCGCAAGATCCAAATGTTCACATGGAGGATCAAGCATGAATCTCTTGCATTGCGGACAAACCTTGCTCGAAGGGGTGTTAAGCTCGAAACTACCAAATGCCTACTGTGTGGCTTAGCGGCTGAAGATGGTGCTCATTTATTTGTCAAATGCAAGGAAGTCAAGGTAGCCTAGAGGGAGATGAGTTTGGAAAGAAGGAGCTAGAACAGATCACGTCAGTACATGAAATGCAAGATTTTCTTCGGCCGCTGGATGAACAACTACGAGTGTAGATCCTCACCTTTTGGTGGCACTGGTGGAACCACAGAAGCAAGATTAGAGAAGGAGAGCTACCGATCCCTATGTCAGAGTTGGTCCGGCGAGTCCTTAGCAATACACAGATATGCAGCTTTTTTGTGCGAAACCAAAGCACAAACCGGATGATAAATGGCAGGCTCCCGCTCCGGACAAAGTCAAGATCAACATAGATGACGCCTACACTCCGGGCGAGTCTTTTGTGTCTTGGGGGGCAGTAATCCGAGATGATGCTGGGGAAGTCCTGCTCGCCCGCGCTGGCCGGAAGGAGAATGTTGCTAACCCCTTCGCTGCAGAAGCCATTGCCATGTCTGAAGCTGTCTCAATAGCTGCGGAGGTTGGTGCTCTCCGGGTAATTTTTGAAACAGATTCACAGCTACTGTCTGAAGCACTCGATCTCACCAAGGTGGATTCGTCACCTCATGCTGCCATCATCGAAGACACTAAGTTCTGGCTCAAAGTGTGGTTCTCACAACATTCTATTAGCGTTTGTCGTCGTAGTGCTAGTACCGTAGCGCATGAACTTGCTAAAGTTGGTCGTTTATGTTTGCCGAATGACAGCATTAGCTGGAACTCTACTGTACCGCCCGCAGTGGCTGTTTGTGTTTCGGGCGATTTGCCCGTGCACCGTTAAGTTATAAAGCTTTGCTTTGCCCTAAAAAAAATGGAACAAGAATGTGAAGGCTGCAAAAATGACTCTCCCACCATATTTTTGAAGTATCATATCTGTAGCTCAAGCTCAGAAAAAGAATCGTCCGCTGACAAAGTTGTTATGTTCGACAATGACACTGGCCGAGGCCGCACAGGTCTAGCAGTCCTGGGTTTCGACCTCACTCCCTCAAACGTCGATGGCATCTTTCCCCGAATAAACTTCATAGACAAGTAGTCCTTCGTATTGCACAGGGACAGCCAGTAGCTTTGGAAAAAATCTACTAAAATCTCTGTCGGGACCATCTGCCAGGCGTCAGGCGTGGCACCGCGACGCACGCGGACGAGCACAACACGGCGTTGCGGCCCCCGGCTGCCACAAGGCGGCAGCAGGAGTGAAGCAGAGCACCACGAGAGCACCGAACCAACGCCGCCCTCTAGCGGGAAAGCCATGAGGAGGACGCGAGGCAGGTCACCGGAGCCGGCCATGCCGGATCTGAGACCCATGCAAAAATGTCGCCGTGGTCACCGAGAGCAAGGTCCCGTGCAAATGTCGCCGTGCCCTAGGCCTCCCCACAACACGAGCAAGGTCCCTGCCGCCGCCATCGGCCGCAGCGGCTTCGCCCTACAGCTTCCTCCGGCGGCGGCGGAGAGGAGGGGTAGGATTTGCGTTGGCGGCTCTAGGGTTGCTTTTCCGCCCGAGCCGCCTGCACGGGAGTGACATGGGGAAGTTT